CATGCGCGAAAGCTTGCGCAATCAGGTAACTTTTTGCATTCTGTCAACTGTGACTAGAATATTTCTAAACACTTGAGCAGGTGCTCTAAATTCCGGGTTTTTTTTGCGACCCCTAGGAATGCATATCCCCCTCATTATATCAATATTTCAAGTATTTTCACTGTCCGGTTTGTTTTCTATGCCTTGTTCTTTGAGCTCGCTCGATAAGCGCCCGTTTAGCGCGTAGCTCATTTTATTTTTTTCTTAGGTTATGAGGCCCCCTAGGGCAGGCCAGGGCAGTGTTGTCGTTGACCCCGATTATAGGGCAATAACCGGGCGATAACCAGGGGTAAGGCACTTTGATCTTGACCTAGAGAAAGGGTCAAGCATGATATGTGCATGACCCCGTGGCGGCGCATGAACATTCATATTAGTGTACAAGTTCAACCAAACATCAGTTCATTGCAAGAATGCTTCGTGCTCCATCACTTCAAGCCATTATTGCTAATTATGGTAAATAATGGATCATGTGCAGGTCATGCTTGACCTCTTGACCCCATCTTAACCCGGTCATTGACGAGGGGGTCAATCAGTTGACCACAGTCAAGTCTAAGGGGTCAAGCCTTGACCCTTACATCACTGGGCCAGGGCACGCCGGGCGCTCCCCAGGACGGCCTTAAGCGTCCGTAGCTGCCCAGCCCGGCAGATGTGGCACCGGACACCACGTCCGCCACCTGTCCTCGCCCCGTGACACGCACGTCGATGGGCGCATCCTGGACATGCATTCCACCCAACACGTGCACTTGAACGGCACCCGCACGTGTGATGACATCCCGAATACCTATCTATATACCGGGAGCCATTAGCCCCTAACGGCCATGCTCAGAGGGCCCTCCATAGCACATTCAATTCTTGTGCTATGTTCTTCAAAATACCCTCATCTGAAAGCCACGCTTCGAATCTTGGAGGCCCCAAAGGGGCCCCAATGCCCAGTTGAGTGGAACGGGCGCTGTAGGCTTCCCAATCGGGCGGGTTTCCTCACGGTGGTGGTTTGGTCAATATTGGTCTTTTTAAGACCCTATCTATATGCCAATGGCTCCAAGCCCCTTGGAGCCATGGATTTTGTTTTCAATCTATGCAATTTAATTGAGACGTTATAGGCTTGTGGACAC